TTTATTTATCTTTCATTTGTTTTACTCTCTTTTGTAAAATCAATTGATTTTTTTATAATATTTTTGAGACCGTGATACATTATTGTATATAATATATGTCAAATCATAGATATGTTTCTTTAAAACTTTTTTTCAGTCTTATGAACTACTGAAGACAGAAGATATTCCAAATTTTCCAGAGGGAAAATTTTCTCCTAATGTCATTAAAGACGTTGCCCAGAATATCCTATCTTTTCTTAAAAGTAATGCCACTAAAGAGGGACACACTTACTGGTTGTTCAAAGGTTTATACTATCTGTATTTTGTCTATGTTTATGTATGTGCATGCATATATTTATTTATTAGCATATAAATTTAATAATGTTTATTTGTTTATTATTCTATATGTTTTGGTCTAAAAACATACCATATAACAGAGTGTAAAAATGTTCACTGACTTTAGGTTCACCACAATCACTCAATTTCTTTTCGAAATTTTGTTTACTTTTCCAATTCCTGTTTAAATCCTGTCGAATTCTGGCCAGTTTATATCTTGGTTTTTTTACTTGTCTCTAAAGTTCCAAATCTTTTCTTTTACTAAGCTCTCTTTGTTTTCTCCCAACATGTCCAAGCTTTTTAACTTTCCTTCTTATTACATCTCCTAAACATTTAATTCACAATTATTTCTTTACTGCTAAGATTATCATTATCGTCCTGGTTATGACATTAAACTGACCCTCACTGCCTTGTGAGTGATGTTGGATCATCAAAGGCTAGGCCCACCGCTAATAACTGTGGTTGCGTAAGGAAGGGCGTCCTGCGTAAAAACTAGCCAAAAAATATTACTTATGATGACAGAAATAACAATGGCCCTCAGTATCCGGTAGAAGAGGGTGCGAAGAATCTCCGGAGACCCAGTCTATGGGGTTGTGGTGCAAGGCCCTGTGGATGGTCTGGCTACTGGCACCCCACTCTATAGTGTGGCGGTGCAAGGCACTATAGATGGAAGGACTACTTGTAGACCAAGGGGTTGGAGGTTTGGTACCGGAAATGTAGGCAGAAGTTTGGAAGTGGTGGAGGAGCTGCAGAGGAGAATGGTTGACGTGGCTGCATTACAGGAGATCAGATGGAAGGGTGAGGGTACAAGGTTTGTGGGGGCTAAAGGTGGAAGATATAAGTTGTGGTGGAAGGGGGATGATGGTACGGGAGGAGTTGGTGTGATGGTAAGAGAAGAGTTGGTGGAGAAGGTGTTGGAAGTGAGGCGGAGAAGCAATGGTGTAATTGTGGTGGTGATGGTGTTTGGAAAAGTAATAGTGAGGGTGATATCAGGATATGCTCCGCAACAAAGTAGGAAGGAAGAGGAGAAGGATGGGTTTTATGATGATGTTTCTGACGAGATTGGGCAAGCGGGGTTGGATGAGTTTGTGGTGTTGTTGGGTGATTTGAATGGTCGTGTGGGGCGGATGCAGACGGATATGAAGGTGTACATGGGGGATGGGGATATGGTATACGGAATGAGGAAGGGCGTAGAGTGTTGGAGTTGGCGGATGCACATAACATGGTGGTGGGGAATACCTGGTTTACAAGGGAACCAGCGCGATTGATTACATATAGGTCAGGGGAGCATAGGTCAATGATAGACTATATATTGGTAAGGGCCAAACATAGAAAGTATGTGAAGAATGTAAAGGCGATTCCTGGTATGCTGCAGCATAGTATGGTTGTGATGGATGTGACATCAAAAGAAATGGGGAGGAGGAAGAAGGATAAGTTTGTGGCAAAGAGAAAGACATGGAAGTTGCAGGATACAGAGGTGAGGAAGGCATGTGAAGTGAAGGTGGCTGAAAATTGGGAGAGTGGTAAGGATGGGGATGTTTGGGAGAGATACAGGGACTGTGTGTTGGTTACGGCAGATAAAGTATGTGGATGGACGAAAGGAAAGTGTAGGCATGGTAAGACGTGGTGGTGGGATGAAGATATAAGAAGGGTTTTGGAGGTCAAGAAGGAGAGGTTTTTAAGGTATGGAGAAGGGACATGACGGAGGAAGCGGAGTCTGAGTATAGGAAGGCTAAGAAGGTTGCAAAACAGGCAGTGGCAACTGCAATGACGAAAGCATCAGATAGGTTAATGAGGGAAATGGAATTTGATGTGAGTTCGAGGAAAATGTTCAAAGTAGCAAAGCAGTCAATGAGGGATAGGAAAGATGTTATAGGGAATGGATGTGTTTGGGATGGATCTGGCCAGTTGTGCATAGATGAGGAGGAAAAAGCTCAGTTGTGGAAAGCCCATATGGAAAGGTTGATGAATGAAGAGAATGAGTGGATGGAGATGTGGAATCCGCGGTCACACACGGACCTATAGAGAAGGTGACGATGGAGGAAGTAGAGAAAGCAGTTAGAGAAATGAAACTAGGTAAGGCGACAGGGGTTTCGGAAGTGGCGGCAGAACATATAAAAGCGAGTGGGGTGATAGGAATTGAAGTTATGATGAGAATTGCTAACAGTATGTTTGATTATGAAGGTATACCTGAGGATTGGCGACACAGTGTGTTGGTCCCGTTGTATAAGGGCAAAGGAGATGTGAGAGATTGTGGGTCATATAGGGGTGTGAAATTGCTAGAGCACGGAATGAAGGTAGTGGAGAGGGTGCTTGAGAGGAGGTTGAGAAGTATGGTGACAGTTAATGAAATGCAGTGTGGATTTATGCCTGGTAGGGCATTGCGGTGGTATGGACATGTGTTGAGAAGGGATGAAAGGGTTGGGATAATGCACCAAACGTTGGAGTTTGAGGTTGAAGGAGTGGTAGGAAGGGGTCGTCCGCGATTGGGATGGAGAGAGCAGGTGGAGAAGGACAGGGTGAAAGCGGGGTTGCGTGATACTGAGGCGAGTGACAGATGTGGATGGCGTCGAGGGGTATTTCGGTTTCATCATAGGTAGCCAAACGGCAACCCCCGATCTCGGGGAAAATGTCGTCTAAACGTGTGTTGTTGTTTGTTGTAAGATTATCATTAGGTCATACATCAGATTATTTTAAGCTTTTCTGTTTTTTCTTCAGTCTTCAATTTTCTCTTTAAAATATCAACGTTTCATTTATTTGTCTTAATTTGTAATGCGTGCCTTAGCAAAGCTTTTCAATTCTGCTTATCAGTGTACTCTTTGTACTCTTTAGTGTCATAAATTTTTTTAACATTTTCATGTCTTTAAAGTTCAAGCAACCCCAACCTCATTAGATGCTCATACCGATCACCCAGATTAAAAAAATTATCAAACTTTTTCTAAAATTTTCTGTTGCACCATTTTTAACTTTTTGTTTGTTTCTTTTTTGATGTTTTAATAATATCTGTGTATTACCATAAGGCTACCATTGAAATTTGTAAATGTACTTCATAGGCCATGGAGATGACATTGTCAAATTATATGACTTGACAACTCTTTGCTTTGATTACAATGAAAATGGAGAAGATGACAACAGTAAAACATGTGACGGTGAAGATTTTAAAAGAAGTCATGATAGAGTGGACATGTTAAACCACCAATCACAGCAAAAGAACGATCAATCATTTTTTCAGTACAATGATAGCAACATTCCCACATCACCATCTTCATCATCGCACTCAAACTCCAATACGTCAGTGGCAATCAATCCCTTCACCATTCCAGTTGGAATACTCCTGTACAGGGTGGCTTTTAACATCATTTCTTTCCAAAAGTGTCTCAGCACTTCCAAAAAAGCATCAGTCATAAAAAAATTGTTGAGGGATTGTATTGCAGTTTTGTCTTCCGTCAATCATTATAGGGTTTGTTTCTTGAAATTAGTTATTGTTTGTTGATAATAATAATCAGTGATTTTATTAATTCTTAAATAATATTAATTGTAATGATAATAATGTTATTTGAAAATAAGGTGATTGTAGCAGCCCATTACTACTTGTCCGATGTATATGTTTGTGATCACATTGATGAGGAGCCTGTTTATGAAGAAGGTAGTGATACTGACATCGAGGAATCATCTGACAATACCGTTACAAACAGTGAAAAATATGAGAGTAGCGATGATGATGTTAGTGTTTATTTGTTATCCAAAATTTATGTAAGTTTTATTGGTTTCTTATTGCAATTAATTCAAAATTGTTGTGTTTAACATTTCATATAAGGTAAGATATATAAATCAAAGTGGCTAAAGCGGTTTCATTTAATTAACTTGAACACGCATTCCTACTATGTTGTCTTTGTTATAATAAAACTGTTGTTATCCAAATTCATCATGCAGATACGCCTTATTTCGATTTTTCACAAATCATCTTCAGTGCAGCTTTGGTTTTTATAGTTTCGTTAGACAAAGCTAAGTTAGTTACTTAGTTTCTTTAGTTACTTAGTTGGTGTCATATTCTTCATCTTTTTTGCCGTTGTCACTTCTTTGTCCTCATTGTTAATAGGGTTAGTATTAAGACGTTGAGTTATAATATTAGTAATGATAAGGAGTCTCGTGGCCGAGTGGTTAGTGTATCCGTCTACTATTTCCATGACCCGGGTTCGAATCCTGCAGTTTCAGCAGGTTCATCCTGGTAGCCGACCCCCGGCCAACCCAGCCGTCCATTCTTCCGAGGTCAGTAAATGCGGAGACGACGTATGTTGTCGCATGTTGGCCGGCGAGATGGCTCAGTGGTTCAAATGCGCGCTGAGTTAAACATTTCAATGGTATCATATCATATCGTATCATTTGGTGGTGTCACAAACGTTGTTCAAAAATAATTGGTACTTTATCTAAAGTGTCCAATTTTGTCCTGCTTGCATCAATCCACAACAAATACGAAATAGCAATGTTTTTGAAGCCATTAAGGTAGAGAAAGTCACATTGTTTCAATATCTAGGGGATGTTCTAGATTGTACTGAAACAGCTGAAGCTGCCGTTCGAGCACGCATACGTGCAGCCTGGGATAAATGGCATCTCCTTGTCTCTATATTGATGCGGCGTGACATCCCACTACTACTACGATCAAGGCTTTATAAATCTGTGGTACGTCCGGTCGTGTTGTATGGTGCAGAAACATGGCCAATGACAACCAAACTGAAACAACAACTTCAACGAACCGATATGAAAATGCTCCGATGGATGCAACGAATTAGTCTGAAGGACCACATCAAATCTACCGAAATCCTGCGTCGTGCTGGTTTAGATGATATAAAGGACGAATGCCGGCAACACCGTCTGCGATGGTTTGGTCATGTCAAACGACGTGGAAACAGTGCCATAACTTCTTTTGCAGATGTTGAAGTACCTGGCACACGTCCCAAAGGCCGTCCAAAGAAGTCCTGGTGGCAAACAATCGAGCAAGACATGAAAGCTCTAAATTTAAATGAAATGGATACAACTGATCGTATAATTTGGCGCAAAAAGTTGATGGCAAAGAAAACAACGTCCTACCTCGGGAAGATTGATTGAATGGTATCATATATTCAGCGTATATGATGCGGTTGACAGCAAGTAATGGCAACCTACTGTCCACAACCTTTGCCAAGAAAATCCATCGACAACTACTACAAAGTGTTAAAAGTCGATGGTCGCCAATGTCCTGAAAAGGATAAGGCACAAAAAAAAATTGGTAATGATAATATTCATTCCTTGTTGGATGTTTATTTGGGGTTTATTATATCTATTTAGACAGCTTCTGCAATTTTTAGTCGTATTATAATATTTGGTGCTTTGGTAAATTATTTTTGTGTCAAAAGTTTGGCTGGTTAGTGGAGTTGCATTTGTCGATTGTAAGTGAGATTTGATGGCTTCTCTTTGTTTATGCATTGAGAGACGTCTTGATAGTGAAGTGGTCGTAACACCAATGTACGAATGTTGTTGACGCGCACAGTCGTCAATAGGGCATTTGAATTCATATATTACATGATTACGTTTCAAAGTAGAATCGTCTTTGAGGGCGCCATTAAGTACACTTGTTTGGTAATTCTGAAATTGCGATGTTTTTCATGTCCATGAATTTATACTGTTCTACCCGGCGTTTCCTGAGTTGAAGTGTAAACTTACAAAACCTACAAGACTTGCCTGGAATGCCTCAACACAATATTCAAATTGAATTATGCTATGAAATCTGAACGCTTCAAAACTTTACAATGATTGTAATTGATTTGAAGCCCAATTTGATTAGAACAGTTGTGTTAACTGGATGCGTTTTATAGGCTTGGAGATCTTTATTTCAAGGGTTCCAGTTTTTAATAAAGACTTGTTGTTTTTTGCCAAAACGAAACGACTATATTTTCAATCCGATTGATCTTTGCAAAGACCATCGACAAATCATGGTCTATTTTCAATAATATGTTTGAGTTTGAAAATTATGGTTTTTGTATAAATTGCATCAATTTCTTCAATACTCAAGCCCGGGCAACGTCGGGTAGTACAGCTAGTGATAATATATGGTTAAAAATGATGATGATGCAAGTTGTTGTCAAGGTTGTGATGGTTTTATTTACGAGAAAGCATGATTTCTTTAATAAAACCTAGAGGTTTTTCATTTACTATATTCACAAATTTTAAAATGTGATGAACTAGCTATATTTGAAAATGGTTTTTAACTGTTAGATAAGTAATGATATTCCTCTAATGAGTTTTTCCAATAAATAATTCATTGCTTTTATGGCTTTGTTATTTTTTCAAAGCAGATGGCTGATCATGATAAGAAGAAAGCTACCGGTGGGTATAGCTACATAAAAAACAAAAACAGTAAATTGGAGGGTTCATCATCAACAATTGACGTGCAAGCTTTGAGTTTGCACAAGAAAAAACATGTAAATAAAAACAATAATAATGGGAATATTATTGACAATAATAATGGTAAAAATGAGAATAATAGTAAAAATAATGCTGAACATCAAAATTTGAACGATGAAAATGCTAAACCTGTTATAAATGATTATGCTTGTATGGTTAAGTTTGAAAAATCTCTGAAACATATTTTACAGGTTTGGAATAGTTGAATTTAATAATGTTCATGGTCATTTACTTTGTCATCTTTGCTTGTAGTTATGTTTTTATGCATTTTAGACAGCAATGAAACCATGTTGGCTAAATGAGTACCATGATAATTATATGAATACCGTAGTTATTAAATGAGTAACGTGGTAATCAATTAATACCATGATAATCAAATGAGTACCATGATAATCAAATGAGCACTGCGATAATCATTGTAGTTTAAGGTCCTACCGTATTATTTAAATTATCAGTATTTGATCTTTTAATATTTTCTACATTTTGTTGGTGATGGTTTGGTAGATTTCACTTTCTTTAACCAATCTTTCAATGTTTTAATCGTGGATTTATTTGTTTTATGATTTATTTAAATGTGTTTAATTTGATCGCGTTTTATAAAGCAACTGAATGGAAGCTTTCGGTTGTTATTTAAGTGCTTATTACGCTGGTACGCTTTTCGAATTTTTTTATAGATTTTAAGCAAATTATTTTGACAAATTTTTTTACAGTCTTTTCAAAATTGTGAGAAATACGAAAAGTTGGTCATTGCCAAAAAACAGAATGAAAAGGGTGATAATATTGAAATAAATGTCAAAATTGATGACAGATGCAATTATGATGAAAAGTCAGATTTTCTAGAGGACAATCTCAATGAAATTAACGTTGCAAAGAGGAAGGCATGTATTTATGAGAAGCAAGCGAGATGTAATCCATTTGAAGCAATACCCATGCACTATGAACCAATCATCAAGGAATTAAACAATCAGGAACATTCTTGCAATTTTATTTGTAATAATAATAAAAATTTGAATATTGTTAGTCATTTTGAAAAGGCTAACATAGCCAATAATGACTCAAAACACGTTTCCAATTCTAATAATGATAATGACAAAAAGCTTGTTATTTACCCTCAAAATGATTTACAACTAAAATGGATTAAATTGAATGAAACGTTAAACATCGCTAGAAACGAATTAAATAGTTACAGTTCCGACGTTTATAAAACTAATGATGTTCTAAATACTCAGAATAATTTATCTTTTTCTCACGAAGTTAATGTTGAGATTTACACAAATAATTTTAATGGAACTAATTGTGTCCAAGATGATAATTTACAAAGGTATTCTGATCATGGTTTCAATAATTTATCATTATCAAAGTTAAATGACCAATTATCAGTTAAAAAAATGACATCAAAATCCGTTGATGAAATTATCAATTTTAATATTATTAAAGAACTTCCATTCCAAGACAGACTTTCCAATGGAATTATATCATTTTCTGAAATAAGATTTTGTCTTATTCGGAAAGCTTGCATTGTATTTTTAAAAAGAGCCAAGTGTTATTTAGATGCACACATCTTATCTACAACAACTTCAACTACCAAACACACTACTTTGCTTTCTGTTTTGAATGATGTCACTCATTCATACAATTGTTACAGTTAGTTTTTATTTATAGCTTGATATGATATAAAAGCAATTTTGTTTAAAGTTTTGAACTGTTCAAATAAATTTTCACGATTTTTAAGAGATTTAAATTTTTTTCGTGTGACTGCTGTGAGAAGAATATAAACCGTTTGGCAAATGCGTAGTTGGTTACTCACAAATTTAGGGGTCTCGTGGCTCAGTGGTTAGCGTGTCCGTCTACTATTCCCACGATCCGGGTTCGAATCCTGCAGGTTCATCCGGGTAGCCGGCCAACCCAGCCGTCCATCTTTCCGAGGTCGGTAAATGGGGGGACGACGTAAGTTGTCGCATGTTGGCCGGCGAGATGACTCTGGTTCAAATGTGCGCTGAGTCAAACATCTCAATGGCTATAATATACTCAGTGTATAAATACATACGTCGTGTGAAAAGGATAAACAGCTTTTGTGGCGAAGATGGATGCTTTAAATCAATGGATGAAGATATGAAGAACGTATTAAAAATATATAGATAATATTTTTATAACATTGTAAGTGGTTTTGCGTATGTCAGAGCTGCAATAACAAAGACTAAAAAAAATTCACTTCCGTCTTTGAAAACTTCAGCGGTCATTGCGTAATCATACCACGGGCTTTATTACGATTTAGAGTTTTTAATGCAATATGTTTTATTACCTACTGGAATACTTACTTGAGGTGTCCGCATCTGGTTTTGGGCGATTTTAATCGTTTTCTTTTCAGTTCTCATTGTTGAGTAAGGTTGACATCGTTTCACTTCCGTCTTTGAAAACTTCAGCGGTCATTGCGTAATCATACCACGGGCTTTATTACGATTTAGAGTTTTTAATGCAATATGTTTTATTACCTACTGGAATACTTACTTGAGGTGTCCGCATCTGGTTTTGGGCGATTTTAATCGTTTTCTTTTCAGTTCTCATTGTTGAGTAAGGTTGACATCGTTTAAAAAGTTTTGATTTCGAGTTTGGTATATCTCCATTAAGCATTTGAACTTTGTTAGAACAACAATCATCTCTTGGCCTCTCACTCATTTCTTTTTGATGTTCTTGTTGTTTGCTTGCTCTAGAGCATCTAGTTTTGAATTGGTGTAAGCTTCATTGTCAGCTTCAAAAGCTTGCAAAACTTTGTTAAGTTTTTGCCATTTCTCTTGACCTATGCCTTTTTGTTTGCATTTGTATTTGTGTTTGAAGTCTTCTTCCTCTTTTATCAGCTAAATCATGTTCAAGCCATTCAACTTGGTTGTTTCGTTTTGCTTTCACGCATGCTTCCACAAGAGCAGAATTTAACGCGTCGGTCTGCTTTAGGATGTCAGTTGTATTATGGTTCTAGGTTCGAACTTCTACAATGAACTCGTTTTTGCGTTTTGAGCCTCAAATTTTTAATTTTTCGGCGTTGTTCAATAGAGTTTTTGCAAGGAAATACTAAATTTTGCGATTACAATTTTATTATAGGACCCCATCTAGCATGTAATGTATGCACGGCAATTTTTGACAAACCATTTTTATACTAACTGATATAACCCGACCCTTTTCTTTGAAGACAAGAGCTTGCGGTGCGAAGGCTCGCCATTTCACACATGCTGATCATTTATTCCGTTACCGGTTGTGTTTTTTTTATAGCAATAATTCTTGACAACTTTTGGGCTTGTGATTTAACTGTCTTTTTCAGTTCTTGCATTGAAATCTCTTGCAAAAATGGTGGTATATGGAGTAATTATCTCGGTTAGCTGTTTGAGTGTGTAATAACTTTGTGAGAGGCAACCATTTAAATTAAAAAAAATTAAAATAAAACAGTTAACCGAAATCAAAGTCTGATAGTTCCAGGTACAACGTTGACGTCTCTACGATTGTCATTTGAGCTAAACCTTAGCCTCCTTTCTATCATTTTCATGGCGCTGAACTAAATGAATTGAGTTTTGATTTGCACACAATGCCTGTGGTTTATTAATTATTCTTCTAGGTTGGGTTTGGTTGGGTCCATTTAAACGCAAATTTATTAATTTAAATGATTATTTTATTTTTATATAATGCTGTTGTGCCGGTGTCCGTTGGAGTTTGACTGTGATTATCTCTTTGGTTGATTGAAGAATTTGAAGGCATTGAAAAGGTTCAAAAGGACAACAAAAATGATTTAGGAAGGCTTTGGTCTAGATTACAATGACACTCAAGTACATTAAATATGATTTTGGCGGGATCTATTAATTTTATACAATCTAATAAAAAATAGAAATGGCAATGAAATTTATTTTATTGAACTTTTTGTTGTTGTACTGGAACTTGAGGACCTAATTTAAAGTCGAATTTACATAGGTTTAGAATGAATGTTAGAAAATATTTATGTACAGTTAAAATTATTCCTATTTGGAATTGTTAACCGTGTGATATGGCGACTGCGTGTGGTATAAATGAATTTACGAATAAGTTATACGATGTGTGAACGCAGATTCAAAAAATTAATTGGCGAAAAGTGTTGTTTATTTACTTTTGATAAGTTGTTTTAAAATCTAGCCTCATTTAGTCGTGTATTTTGAATTATGGCATTATTTGAAAACTTTTGTCCTGTTTTTCTTAGATGTTCAGTTGATTATTTTATTATTTTTTAATATGGTCACAAAAGCTTGTTTTATTTGTAGTTATGGGTGCATAGACGTTGTCTTTAGTCATATTATTTTATTATATTAACAATTACTTTGTCAGAATCATTAAAAAAGTTGAAACCAATGATGAAGCATTCAAAAGATGAAAGTTGTCACGAAAACATAACTTTTCCGTTCGATTCTGGTGATCCAATTCTCCACGTAAAGATTCTGTCAGTTCATGGTGATGCTTACTTGCATGTGGCTAAGCAGCAAATGACACATGAGGATCGTTGGGATCGTTTTTTTCATTTAAAAAATCTTTTAGCTAATGATAAAAGAACCAAAGAGTTGGTAACATACATGAGGTTGAAAAAATATTTCAATGAAAGTGATCATGATTATGGTAAGTATTAAGTTTTCATTGAGTATAATATTTTTATTTTTTCAAGTTGTGTTAAAATGCTAAACAACATTATTTCAAATGTAAAAATGAAATTTTTGTTATATATATACTTTCGTAAAGATAATGCAACACAATAACAGTGGGGTTCTAGTGCACCAGCCTTCGCGAAGTGGAACCGACTGCCAGGACAACCCTACAGTTGACCCAACAAATCGTTGCTACACCCCCTCTCTGCCTGGATTTCTACACTGGGTTTTTATCATCGGAGCAGCCCATCCCGGCCAGTCTGCTCTGTTTCCTCTCTCTAAGGGCCGGAATCGAGTCAAATCCAGACCCCAAAATCTGGATGTGCCTTGCCTGCAACATGAAAAGACCCAATTTTCAGTCTTTGAAAATTGTGCGACCAACATTAACGGTTATTACCTCTATAATAACTGCCCTCACCGTCCTCGAATTCGATTGGTTCTACGGTGCCGGATATAGTTCATCAGCGGCCATCAACCACGAAAAAAGTGTAAACCCGTCCCAACATAAAGAACAAATCATTAAATTTACTGGATAGATCAACATCCTACTATTGAACTGTAACGGTATAAAAAACAAACAAGATGTAATTGTATAACATTTAATAGAACACCATATTCTCATTGCAGCTATTCAAGAAACGAACTTATCAAAAAGCTCAAAAGATTCAGTTTTTTGAAACTACTCGGTGTATCGCAAAGACTGTGGGGGGCGGATGAGGAGGTGGCCTAATCATATTTATTTTTTACAGCGCTCACAGCGATCAAGCTACAACCCGACCAAGCAGTCTCAGAGAGCCAAGCCATCACAATCAGGGCCAACGACACAAGTATTAACATTGTAAACATCTACATTCCCCCGCTATCCGTTTGTACTCCCAATTTTACAGCAATTTCTCAATACTACAATTTCTGACCATTCCGAACCTGGTTCTGCTGAGGGACGTGAATGCCCACGACGAACTCTGGCTGGCACTCAAGTTTAGAAAATTTCCAAAAAGGGGATCTGGTTTGGGACTTGGAAAACTCACGCTGCGGCACGCTCAACCTGGATACTCCAACCCGTCTACCTACAATCGGTCAACTATCATCACCAGATATTTCTATTGTATCAGACTCCCTGATTATCGATATGGATTGATCAACAATAACCGCTCTCTCTCATCGGACCAACTTCAAATCCACATCACACTACAAACAACTTTCCAGCATACCAGAACCCCAAAAATTAAATTCTTTAATTTTTGCTAAAGCTTACTGGGAAAGTTTCGCCACCGAAATTGAAGCCGCTTTTTTAAAAAGTCATCTTCCCTCCAAACCCACCAGCAGCTGAGAAGTTATTCCGTCACTAAAACCATCAAGAAATTAACTCTTGATGATCATCCTACCCTCACCCCCAATCAGGTTTTAGCTGCGTTAAAGCTTTCAAAACCGTTCGAAGTTACAGGGCCGGACAACCTGAAAATCTTCCATCTCCAACGAAAATATCCTTCTTAACCAACTTATTCAACGAATCCCTGCGAACCTGCAAAATTCCGGACATCTACAAATAAGCAAAAATTATCTCTCTCCTTATACCAGATGCAAAATCTTACCGACCAATATCCCTTATTATGCCCGGCCGCAAAAGTTTTTGAAAAAGGCCTACTGCCAATCACAACCGCACACCTTACTCTGATTTTATATAATTTTGTTGAACGATGATTAATAGAATTATAGTTATTCATTGTTTAGTGTTTTTTTATATATAGATAACATTTAAAATTTTTTATGATTTTTTCCCAAATTTTAATTTTCAGGTGTGGAGAGATTGCCCGAAGATGTAATCAATCTTTATGAAAAAGCTATTCAGTTCTATTCCTCTGCATACGAGATTTCAAAAAATTATAAAAAATATATATATTCTTTCAAAAAAAACAAAACAAATGATAGTGACGAAGCTGGTCATATTGGTGACGATGATGACGAAGTGAATAGTGCTTGCAAAAAATCCCTGACCAAATTGGCCAATGTGCATAATGAAATGGCAACTTATTATAACAAGCAGCTGATTAAGCCTGGTATAAAATTTTTCAAATTTTCAGTTTAGGATAGCATGAATATATTTTTTATAGATTGTTTTTTGCTTTTATTGACGTTGCTTTGCAGGTATTCGATAAACGATAGCATTTTTTGGCATTAAACCAGTAATTTAATTTTATTTGTTCAGATGTTTTATGAAACTAGTTAAACTAATTGTTTATTCATTAAAAATAAATACTGTTTTATTCTCTATTACTAGTTTAGTGTAAGTTGCTTGATTACTTAGATTTCACACAAGTGCCTCTCTATGATAATATAAATTTGCTTGCCTACCTAGCTTATGTGCTGACAGTGCATTTATTCCAAGCTGGTTATCGGCCACACATAGCTCATTAATGTTAAACAGAATGTGGTCCTAAGTGCGACATTGTATTTTTCAGCTCTTTTAAAGAAATATTATACTGTTTAAAAGTCGTTGGCATTATTGTTTTATTGTGTCTTTTAAAAAGTTGTAATTATTCAACATTAATTAATTTTTTATTAATTAATTAATTAATTAATTAAAACATTAATTTTTTCATTCAAAGGTTTATCATTTAAGGATTGTTCTTCGATAATGGACAACAGTAAACATCATTTTAATCAGAGCGTATCATATTTTGTAATTTTGAATGACAATTTGAATGCTGCACTAGTCAATGCTAATGTTTGCAACATAGAAAGAGTCAGAGCTCAACTTATAAGGTTAATTGATTAATTTTTACTATATTGCAATGTTGTTATGTTTTTGTTATACGTTCAATCTGCCAATTACCTAACCGTGCTAGATACATTTTTAGATAATATGATGTCCAAAAAATAATCTTTGATTTATAAGGTTTTAATAATTATCTTATTTTGAGAACAAACGAAAATTTAGAATTGAATGAATTTGATATGCCTAGTGTACAGAGCAGCGATGTTTACAAGAATTTTCTGTCTGCAAGTGTAGATAGAGGTACAATCAATCAATCAATCTTCGTTTTGCGTCCAGAGACCCGGTTTCCCGAGGTAGGACGTTGTTTTCTTTGCCATCAATTTTTTGCGCCAAATTAGACGATCAGTTGTATCTATTTCATTTAAATTTAGAGCTTTCATGTCTTGCTCGATTGTTTGCCACCAGGACTTCTTTGGACGGCCTTTGGGACGTGTGCCAGGTACTTCAACATCTGCAAAAGAAGTTATGGCACTGTTTCCACTTCGTTTGACATGACCAAACCATCGCAGACGGTGTTGCCGGCATTCGTCCTTTATATCATCTAAACCAGCACGACGCAGGATTTCGGTAGATTTGATGTGGTCCTTCAACTAATTCGTTGCATCCATCGGAGTATTTTTATATCGGTTCGTTGAAGTTGTTGTTTCAGTTTGGTTGTCATTGGACATGTTTCTGCACCATATAACAAGACCGGACGTATCACAGATTTATAAAGTCTAGTATTTATAAAGTATAGTGGTAGTGGGATGTCACGCCGCATCAATAGAGACAAGGAGATGCCATTTATCCCAGGCTGCACGTATGCGTGCTCGAACGGCAGCTTCAGCTGTTCCAGTACAATCTAGAACATCCCCTAGATATTGAAACAATGTGACTTTCTCTACCTTAATGGCTTCAAAGACATTGCTATTTCGTATTTGTTGTTGTGGATTGATGCAAGCAGGACAAACAAAATTGGACAATTTAGATAAAGTACCAATTATTTTTGAACAACGTTTGTGACACCACTGGTTACACTGCTGACACTTGATTGAATTGTTACCTACACCAGCTTTACAAACTGAACAGGGCCATTTTCCAGTAGCTGTGGATTGGATGGGTTCACCAGTGTTTATTGCTTTGATTTTGCTGATGTTGACTTTGAATCTATGATCGGCGAGTCTGGCGTTCCAATCTTCAAACATCTGTGCTGCATTCTGCTCAGACGTGGCTGTTAAAACGATATCATCAGCATATACTAGATTCCAAATGTCACAAGTGCGTATCGGTTTTGTGATTTCTTCCATCACAGTTATAAATAACAGTGGACTGAGAATCGAGCCTTGGTGAACTCCAACGCCGATGTCAAATGCATCTGTTTCCAACCGTTGTGCTGACGAGAGTCTTAGTATTCGTATACATTTCCATCACAAGTCGAACAAGATATTCTGGAATGAGTTGTCGACGTAGACTCCACCTGATTGCTTCACAGAAAACTCGATCAAATGGTTTTTCAAGGTGTACAAAAATTTGTGATAGTTGTTGATGCTTTGCGAGGTACTTCTCTTGCAGTTGCCGAAGGATGTGAATTACATCAATTGTTGATTTCCCACTAGAAAAACAAATTGATAATTTTCGATTGTGATGCACGACGTTAATCTTCTCTCAATGATTTTCTCGACAATTTTCAGGTTTGACAATGTTTCGAATATTTTTTTTCATAATTTTCTCATTCCGTTTAAACGCTGTCGACATGTGGTTTTTGTAATATATCGTAATGTTTTTGTATTCATTGCTATTTCGTCGTTATTATGTACTTGTTTTTTTTTCGTTGAATTATTTTTCTACTAGTGATCTTTTATAGTCGTTAATGATTTGGAGGTTGGGGATTCTTTGTATTTCTTTGTTTTTGTCTTCTATGTCCGATGAATGTGTACGCACGGTTTAAAAACGATGAAATTTTACTCTCTAGGTATTTCTCGCAGCATTCGCTTCTTCCGTTTAGGCATAAACCTTTGTTTGAGGCCTTTGTGTAAACCGACGTCTTGAGTTCGATATCGTTGCCCTGTACTAAAACAAAAAAGCACTGTCTTGAATGAAAAGCACAACATGTATGCATCTCTAAGATGTAAATATTTTTTAATAGAGCTCTGTTATTTCTGATTTCTTTCAAAATGCTTTTGAAATCTTTCTCATACTTCTACTAATTATGTTTTTATTATTAATCATGTCTTTATGGATAAATACAAATTGATTGAAAGAGACAAAATTATTTGTTGCCATTTTATTTGTACATAAAAATCAATAAATTTTTCAATACAGAAATATACAAATTCAAAACTGCGAAATACTTGAATTTTCTAAAGAAGAAAGAAATTGTTACAAAATGGTTTTATTAAAATTTAAACCTTCATTTTTTGGTTTAATTTTAAAATGGTTTCATTAGTTTTTAACTTTCTACTTTTTATCTTATGATTTTTATATAAAATCGAAATAATATACTTCAATGTTTACAACAGGCAGAATTAGGATATATAAAAAGTTTAAAATGGCTACGGAAGTGTAACGATGAAAATGCTGCCGCATGGTGCACCATATCATGGGATCTTAGCTCTGTCTGTGTGCTGGCTGGCAGTCTTCTTCAAGATCATCCACCTTTAACAACAATGTCTAGACAGCATGTTTGGATATTTCTTATTTATCAATATTTCATTATTATATTATTATCATTATCGTTATTATGATTATTATTACTATTGTTACTATTAATTATTATCAAAAATTAACGGGGAATGTTTGTAGATGTCTTTTTTTCTAACTGTTCTCAGCGCACCAACCATGATTATCTTCGTTTTTGTGTTACACATTCTACTTATTTCTATTTCTCCTAATTTGCTCCTCCACAAGACACACATTGCAGTCTAGGATTAGTCTCAATGTCTCTGGCCTGCTCACAGTACTAAAACTTCTTTACGGCTTCATGGCCTAATGGTTAAATTCGTCTGGTGCTGTTTCGAAGTAACCGTGTTCGAATATGACATAAAGATCCCCGCCTATCACATGCTTCGCGTGTGATGCGTCGTTTAGCATGTATTCATATACGATGTTTATGGTGTGTTGTTGAATCTTCTGAACTTTGGAAGAGTGTAATTGACCTTTAACCTTTTTAACCTTCACTCAAAACTCATATTTCTAGTGGTAATAATTATCTTACTCTTCTTTTTGCTCTTGACCTTTCCTCTGCTTTTGATTCTATTGATCATACTATTCTCTTGAGGCTGCTAGATCATTCTTTTAATATTACTGATTCTTGTTTATCTTGCATTTCTTCTTATCTTTGTAATCGTTTTTCTTTTGTTGTTCTTAATAATTCTATTTCTGACATTTTGGCCCTATAATCAATCAATCTTCGTTCAGCGTCCAGAGACCCAGTGTCCCGAGGTAGGACATTATTTTCTTTGACATCAACTTTTTTTGCCAAATTAGACGATCAGTTGTATGTTTTCTTTGCCATCAACTTTTTGCGCAAATTAGACGATCAGTTGTATCCATTTCATTTAAATTTAGAGCATTCACGTCTTGCTAGACTTCTTTGGACGGCCTTTGGAATGTGTGCCAGATACTTCAACATCTGCAAAAGAAGTTATGGCACTGTTTCTACTTTGTTTGACATGACCAAACAACCGCAGACGGTGTTGCCGGCATTTGTCCTTTATATCATCTAAACCAACACGACGCATGATTTCGGTAGATTTGATGTGGTCCTTCAGACTAATTCGTTGCATCCATCGGAGAATTTTCATGTCGGTTCGTTTAAGTTGTTGTTCCAGTTTGGTTGTCATTGGCCATGTTTCTGCACTATATAACATGACCGGACGTATCACAGATTTATAAAGTTTTGATCGTAGTGGTAGTGGGATGTCTTTAGATAAAGTACCAATTATTTTTGAACAACGTTTGTGACACCACTGGTTACACTGCTGACACTTGATTGAATTTTTACCTACACCAGCTTTACAAACTGAACAGGGCCATCTTCCAGTAGCTGTGGATTGGATGGGTTCACCAGTGTTTATTGCTTTGATTTTGCTGATGTTGACTTTGAATCTATGATCGGCGAGTCTGGCGTTCCAATCTTCAAACATCTGTGCTGCATTCTGCTCAGACGTGGCTGTTAAAACGATATCATCAGCATATACTAGATTCCAAATGTCACCAGTGCGTATCGATTTTGTGATTTCTTCCATCACAGTTATAAATAACAGTGGACTGAGAATCGAGCCTTGGTGAACTCCAACGCCGATGTCAAATGCATCTGTTTCCAACCGTTGTGCTGACGAGAGTCTTAGTATTCGTATACATTTCCATCACAAATCGAACAAGACATTCTGGAATGAGTTGTCGACGTAGACTCCACCTGATTGCTTCACTGGGAACTCGATCAAATGCTTTTTCAAGGTCTACAATACTGTGTGATAGTTGTTGATGCTTTGCGAGGTACTTCTCTTGCATGCAGTTGCCGAAGGATGTGAGTTGCATCAATTGTTGATTTTCCCGCTAGGAAACCAAATTGATAATTTCCGATTGTGATGCACGACGTTAATCTTCTCTCAATGATTTTTTCGACAATTTTCAGGGAGTGTTTTAACAGAGGTATACCCCGATAAGATGAACAGTTCAATGGATCACTTTTGCCTTTGTATATCGAAACTGTCATGCTATAAGTCCATTCAGTCGGCATTGAGCAATTTCTCCAGATTTCACGGCAAAGTTGTAGTAACGTTTGGATACCTGCAGTACCAGATGCTTTGATGTCATTTGTGAGTCCAGAGGGCCCTGCTGCCTTTCCATCCTTCATAGCTTTCAGAGCTTCTGTAAGCTCCTCTAAAGTGATGTCTGGAATCGGACCTTCGATGGTTGGAGCGTCAAAGTTAACATTGATGGGATTTGTTTCGTTTAACAGACGATTGAAGTATTCTCTCCACTGTAGCTTGATCTCATCTTGTTCAAGAACCATCTCATTTTTGTCGTTTTTGATACATGAGGCATCAACTATGTCTTTTTTCGTACGCTTTGCTTGTTTTGCTATACGATACAGAGATTTCATTTGTTCACCTTTGCTTTTAGTGATCCAATCTCTGCACTGATTTGTCCTAGCCAGTGCGACTTGACGTCACTTGACCACTTCTATTTATACTCTATACTTATGAACTACCTCCTATTATTTTTTTTTTCACTAGTCAGCTATATGCTGTTGATTCTTATATTTATACTTTTTTTCCTCCATCTAATCTCAATAGTGTTCTTCTTAATCTATTTTCATGTCTTTTTTCAATTATCGCTTGGCTTGATTTTATGTCTCTTGAACTTAATCCTTTCAAATTTGATTTAATTTGTTTTAATAAATCTAAACACTCTATTACTATTCTTTCTATTATCTTACCTGATTCTAAAGCTCTTGATACTTCTCAGATAAATAGGGTTGCTAAAAGTTTTTACTTTCATCTACGTAGAATAAAAAAACTTTTGCCTTTTCTTTACGATCCTACTCTTCTCTTTTTTGTTACTTTTTTAGTTTCATCTAAGATTTAATATTTTAACTCGCTCTTCTATGGTCATTCTGATTCTAAACTCTATCTTTTAAGTATAGCTCGTCTAGCTGCTTGTGCCCCTTTTTTCCTCATATATCTCCATATCTTGTTCTCTTTCACTGACTATCTATAAAATATAGAATAATTTTTAAAATTTGCACATTAATGTATAAGTCTCAATCTAAATTATTTCCTAATTACTTATCAGATATGTTAATTGAACCTAAACGCTCCGGATTACGATCGTCCTCTTGTTCTCACTTCTTCTTAACTTGTTTTACATCTCCATCGCCATCATCATCTCCATCACCATCATCTTCTTTTTCATCATCGTCACCATCTTCATCTCCATCATCATCTCCATCATCATTTTCTTCTTCATCATCATCTCCATCACCAAACACTCTTTTGCTAAATCTGCATTTGCTTTTTTTGGCTCTTTTCTATAGAACTCTCTAACCCTAACCTCCTTCTCTAACTACTTCTTCATCACCTACGAAGTTCAGAGCGGATCTCAAGACCCATCTGTTTGCAAAATTCATTGAAGAGCGCTGTTGAACATCGCGGAAATAGCGCTTTATAGACTAATCGATTGATTGTTAGATTGATTGATTGATTGTTTGATTGATTTATTCATTGATTGATCGAATTCATAGTAGTAGAAACAGACGTACGGTCGGTGATGTGTCTGTTTTTGGTAAAAACACAATTGTAGTAAGATTTTTGTTTGATCTTTGAGCGTTTTGTTTTTTAGTTTCCTGTGGTAGAGACCAATACATATGTACTTTCATGAGCAAAGAGCCACCCCACCCAACGTCGCTAACATTGATAAATTCATCACAAATCTACAATCGTTAATGTATGATTACTTTGCTTCCAACTACGGCACGCTAAAACAAAAAACAATTTTATTAATTGTGCCCGACAAAGCAATCTACAAATTAATAAAAGAACTAAAGCAACTAAAACTGCTAGGTCAGAACAACAACCAGTCTGAGATTCAAATCAGCTCGCTAAGTAAACAAATACGATTGAAAATATCTTCTGAAAATCAGCAAAATTTGCAGAAGGAAGTGAAAGATCACTGAAAAGATTACTTCGGTCACTTATTGAATGAAACAAACCCTATTTGGGTGGATTTTGATGCACTTCCGGTGGAAGGACCGATTCAGGGCATCACAGCTGAGGAGCTTACGGATGCGCTGAAGGCAATGAAGGAGGGTAAATAGGCTGGTCCGTCTGGACTTGCAAATGATATCATCAAGGCATCTTGTGGGGCAGGCTTCCGAGTCCTTTTACACATCTGTTGGGAGATGTGGATTAAATCGATACTACCAGTGGAATGGAACAGTAGCACAACTGTGCCGATATATAAAGGAAAAAGAGATCCACTGAAATGCTCCTCGTATCTGGGTATACGTCTTCTGGAACATTCCATGAAAGTTATTGAAAAAGTCATTGAGAGAAGACTGTTGTCGGGCATTTCAATAGGTGGTCACCAGTACGGCTTCATGGCAGGGAGATCCATCATTGATGTTATCTATATCATTCGTCAACTACAGGAAAAATACATGATAAAGCAGAAGCGACTGTTCCATATCTTTGTGGACTTGGAAAAGGCTTTTGACAGAGTGCCTGATGAGGCAATCAGGTGGAGTCTACGTAGGCTGCTTGTTCCCGAATATCTGGTTCGACTAGTTATGGCAACGCTTCGGAACAAGACGCAGCCAGAAAGTTTGAGGTCTGGAATACCCAGCTCGGCGAACACTGGCTAAAGGTAAACCTTAACAAAACAAAAACTATGATCACCGGCGGTACCGCTGAGCCTGTGGTCAGGGGTCATTGGCCATGTTTGGTGCTTGTGGCTGGAGTTGAAAGCAACTCGATCAAATGAAAAAATTTGTGTCGACATGCCTTCGTCATTAATAGTATACATTTTTTTCAACATCGCAATACGGATTCATGGAGGGCTAGTCTACGGAATTGGCTCGTTTGGATATTAATCATTATGTTTTACAAAATATGGAGAAAGAACTAACAAGTGTTGGTTTATTTTTGAATCTGAGGAAAGCCTTTGATTCAATAGACCATGGTATTTTACTTAAAAAGCTGTTTAAGATTGGAATTCGTGGTTCTATTTTTGACTGGTTTGCTGACTATCTCCTTGATCGGTGTCAGTATGTGTCGTATGAGTCTTGTAATTTTTCAAAAGTCATTGTTAAGTGGGGAGTGCCTCAAGGATCTGTGCTTGGCCCATTGTTGTTTTTGATCTTTATTAATGACTTGCCAAATGTTGATAAATCAATAAAGACTGTTCTTTTTGCAGATGATACGACAATTCTCTGCAGTAGTAATAACATTGATGATATTGCTATTAAGTAAGTGGTGGTTGTCGTCGGGATGGGTGTCCGGATGTAAAAACTTTCCCTCAAATTATTCTATGCCATCATTAATAAATGAAATGGATACAACTGATCGTCTAATTTGGCGCAAAAAATTGATGATAAAGAAAACAACGTCCTACCTCGGGAAACTGGGTCTCTGGACGCTAAACGAAGATTGATTGATGTTGCTATTAAATTAAAGAAGCATCTTGAATTAACTTATAAATGGTTATGCACTAACCATTTATCTATCATTTATAATAAAACTAATTTCATGATATTTGGACCTAAAATAGCCACTAATAGAATGAATGCAGATATCTTTATAAATAATCATAATGTTGAAAGAGTTTATATTAACAAATTTTTAGGATTTATAATCTCGGATAATTTTATTTGGTTAAACCACATTTTGTATGTTTCCAGTAAAATTTATAGAATTGCTGGCTTGATTTTTTAAATTTGACATAGGTTTTTCTTTGATATTGTTAAACAGTTATACTACAGTTTGATTTTTCCATACTTAAGTTACGGACTGATATTGTGGGGTAATAGTTTTAATTCACATATTGATCATCTTAAGAAATCTTACAACTATTATATACGCTGTCTTTATATGCTACGAAAGCGTTCGCATGTCACATGCTATTATAAAGATGGCAACTTGTTGACCATAAAACAACTCTACAGATTAATAGCGTTAAAATTTATGTATAATAGTTAAAAGCATTCATTACCAATTTAAATTTTGAAATTTTTTAGTAGATATAACAGTGTCAAAAATTTAAGAAAAATTATATCTTTTATAAACCATATTCTAGGTTAAATATTTTTAAATTTTCTATTTCTTCTGAAAGGGTATCATTATGGAATAATCTGCCTTCAGATTATATATTAATAAACAATATCAAACTTTTTATGAAGATTATCAAGTGTATGTTATTATCAGCTGATTAAACGTTATTCAAGAAACATTTATTATGTTAATTTTAGCTACTTACATTTGACGAATATTAACACTTAATTTTATATTAAAATCATTTAGACTAACCTTTTGGTCATTTTAATACGTCCTGGGTATGACATAAAACTGCATCCACGCTGCCTTGCGTGCTTTTGAGCGAAAGGCTAGGCCCACCGCTTATAACGCTCAATGTTGGATCACTGACTGGCCCCAGCATGGAAATCGCAGAAATGCTCGAGCATAGAAGGATTGACATCTGCTGCCTTCAGGAAACCCGATGGAAATCGAATGGTGTCCGTCATGTCAACTCAGACAAAGAAAAATATAAACTATTCTGGAATGGTCAAACGACGGCCAAAAATGGTGTTGGAATTTTTGTCAGAGAACCGCTAGCCCAAGAAGTACTGGATATTAAAAGGATTAATTCACGTCTCATGTGGATCAAGCTTCGCATAGAAAAGCAAACAATGATTATTTTTTTTGCATACGCACCACAGACAGGCGAACCAGAAGAGATGAAAAATGACTTCTGGACTGCATTCTCTGACACCATCTCAACAATACCAAAATCTGAAACAATCCTGATTGGAGGCGATTTCAATGGCCACGTTGGAGAGAAAACAGATGGTTTTGACATGGCGGTTTTGGCTATGGAAAACGGAATGAAGATGGCAACCGCATCCTTGAGTTTGCTGAAAGTCACGGGTTTTGTTTACTAAACAGATATTTTAGAAAGAGGTTGGAACATCTCATAACATACAAAAGTGGGCCATCAGCCACGCAAATTCATTTCTTCGCTGTCAAGCAACCACACCGAAGGCTGTTCAAAAACGTCAAAGTTATACCTGGCGAATCATGTGTCGCCCAACATAGACTCCTTGTGGCAGACCTGGTTGTCGAACTGTCAAAACATAAGTCTAAACAAATGCTTCCGAGAATCAAAACGTGGAAGCTGAAAAGCAATATTCATCGTGAAAAATTTCAACAGATTGTCGCCACACAGTTAGACCACCAATCGCAAGCCAGTACAGATTGGAGTACATACAAAACCGTTTTGATGAACGCTGCAACTACAGTTTGTAGGAAAACTGGAACAAAACGTCAGCATGAACGTGACACTTGGTGGTGGAATGACAGTGTACAAAATTCAATTAGCTGAAAAGAAAGTTGCATACAGGCAATGGCAAAAATCAAAGTCTGTAGATGACCATAAAATTTTTCGTGAGAAGAACAACTATGCAAAACGTCAAGTTGCACTGGCTCGGACAGATCAGTGCAAAGAGTGGCTCACTAAAAGCAAAGGTGAACAAATGAAATCTCTGTATCGTATAGCAAAACAAGCAAAGCGTACGAAAAAAGACATAGTTGATGCCTCATGTATCAAAAACGACAAAAATGAGATGGTTCTTGAACAAGATGAGATCAAGCTACAGTGGAGAGAATACTTCAATCGTCTGTTAAACGAAACAAATCCCATCAATGTTAACTTTGACGCTCCAACCATCGAAGGTCCGATTCCAGACATCACTTTAGAGGAGCTTACAGAAGCTCTGAAAGCTATGAAGGATGGAAAGGCAGCAGGGCCCTCTGGACTCACAAATGACATCAAAGCATCTGGTACTGCAGGTATCCAAACGTTACTACAACTTTGCCGTGAAATCTGGAGAAATTGCTCAATGCCGACTGAATGGACTTATAGCATGACAGTTTCGATATACAAAGGCAAAAGTGATCCATTGAACTGTTCATCTTATCGGGGTATACCTCTGTTAAAACACTCCCTGAAAATTGTCGAAAAAATCATTGAGAGAAGATTAACGTCGTGCATCACAATCGGAAATTATCAATTTGGTTTCCTAGCGGGAAAATCAACAATTGATGCAACTCACATCCTTCGGCAACTGCATGCAAGAGAAGTACCTCGCAAAGCATCAACAACTATCACACAGTATTGTAGACCTTGAAAAAGCATTTGATCGAGTTCCCAGTGAAGCAATCAGGTGGAGTCTACGTCGACAACTCATTCCAGAATGTCTTGTTCGATTTGTGATGGAAATGTATACGAATACTAAGACTCTCGTCAGCACAACGGTTGGAAACAGATGCATTTGACATCGGCGTTGGAGTTCACCAAGGCTCGATTCTCAGTCCACTGTTATTTATAACTGTGATGGAAGAAATCACAAAATCGATACGCACTGGTGACATTTGGAATCTAGTATATGCTGATGATATCGTTTTAACAGCCACGTCTGAGCAGAATGCAGCACAGATGTTTGAAGATTGGAACGCCAGACTCGCCGATCAAGATTCAAAGTCAACATCAGCAAAATCAAAGCAATAAACACTGGTGAACCCATCCAATCCACAGCTACTGGAAGATGGCCCTGTTCAGTTTGTAAAGCTGGTGTAGGTAAAAATTCAATCAAGTGTCAGCAGTGTAACCAGTGGTGTCACAAACGTTGTTCAAAAATAATTGGTACTTTATCTAAAGTGTCCAATTTTGTTTTTCCTGCTTGCATCAATCCACAACAATAAATTCGAAATAGCACTGTTTTTGAAGCCATTAAAATAGAGAAAGTCACATCGTTTCAAAATCTAGGAGATGTTCTGGATTGTACTGGAACAGCTGAAGCTGCCGTTCGAGCACGCATACGTACAACCTGGAATAAATGGAATCTCCTTGCCTCTTTATTGATGCGGCGTGACATCCCACTACTACTATGATCAAGACTTAATAAATCTGTGATATGTCCGGTGTTATTATATGGTGCAGAAACATGGCCAATGACAACCAAACTGGAACAAAAACTTCAACTAACCGACATAAAAATGCTCCGATGGATGCAACGAATTAGTCTGAAGGACCACATCAAATCTACCGAAATCCTGCGTCGTGCTGGTTTAGATGATATAAAGGACGAATGCCGGCAACACCGTCTGCGGTGGTTTGGTCATGTCAAACGAAGTGGAAACAGTGCCATAACTTCTCTTGCAGATGTTGAAGTACCTGGCACACGTCCCAAAGGCCGTCCAAAGAAGTCATGGTGGCAAACAATCGAGCAAGACATGAAAGCTCTAAATTTAAATGAAATGGATACAACTGATCGTCTAATTTGGCGCAAAAAGTTGATGGCAAAGAAAACAACGTCCTACCTCGGGAAACCGGGTCTTTGGACGCAAAACAAAAATTGATTGATTTTGGTCATTTTAAAAATCAAAAATCAAAAATTCATTTATTTAAATTCGAAACACAAAATGAAATTAATATTGAGATTGTGAGTATATATGGAGATCCCATAAGAAAACCAAAACTTGTACAGACCACCGTGATACGATATGCAATTTAAAATCAAAATCACGTTTGAATACATACACTGATGTACTAAAAGTAATAGATATATGTATATTCGTTTTTCTACATATATAAACACATAAGTATGCATGAATATATATACTGATGTAATAAAAGCAATAGATATATAAATGTTCATCTTAGTACATATATAAGCACATATGAATACATATACTGAAGTAATCAAAATAATAGATATATAAATGTTCATCTCTGTACAGTGTACATATATAAAACACACAAGCATTATTTTAGCATATATGAATGAATACATATACCGATGTCATATATAAATACATACGCACATATGTATATATATACTGATGTAATCAGTATGCATGAATATATATAAACACATAAGATATATAAATGATTTGTTTCCATACATATAAAAACCCATAGTCATATTGACATTAATATGAACATACATATGAACATGTTCTATATGTCAATTAAAAAACAATTTAATGTTCTATATGTTATAATTCGGTGGCCTATGAAGTTTTAACTTGCTTGGTCTCCAAACTAAAATAACTTGTTTGTTTCTTGGTAAAATAAATACTTTTTGATTTGATTTGTATGTGTATATATGTGAATGTATATATATGTGTGTATATGTGTATGTATGTATGTGTATATAGGCGTGTTTACTGTTTATATATATTGTATTAAATTTAATTTCGTTAATGTTAATATATATAGGTGTATTTTATTTTGTTTTTTTTTTCTGTTATTTTGTATCATCATTATTCGCTGTGGTTTTGTTTTACAACCTTTACGTTATTTATGACATATATTATATCATTTTTCTGTTAACTTGAACTGAGTGGGCCTACAAGTGGTTTTCTGGTAATTGGCATGTTTTTTTGCATGTGTTGATTTACTAAATAAAACTTTATTGTTGTTGTTGAAACTTGCTGAATTATTATCATTATACAATTTTCAGATAGAGATCGAGGTGGTAGAATGGTTGAATAAAGCTTTAAAATACTGCAACTTTGATGCAAAATCATCACTATATGTACCAGCCAAATACAGACACGGTCACATTCATCACAGACTTGCTTCTATGTACCAAACTATTTATAGAGTTGAAGTTTGTTTATCTTAAAAATTATACACATTATTATTTAATAAAAATAACCATTTTATTTACTTTGGTGATTTTTATTCACTTCAGCTATTTGTTTTAATAATTTTTTACCAAACACATTGTTTTTTCCCTCTTCAGTCGTAATCATTCTTGATATTTACGTTTACGATCATCATCGTTTCATAGCAGTTTTGGATAGACTACCAAACAAATACATCCTGGATCATTTTCATTATGTATCAAATTTTATTTGCAAAATCTTAGTTCTTTTCTAAATTTATCTTGCTTGGTTATTTTCACCATGTCCAACAATGTCCATAACATCCTGCCTGTTTACCATTTTTGTTAAAGTTCTAGATTTTTTTACTTAAATTTTTCCCTTTCTGGTAGCGTGACTAATCGGCCTCGTCTTGTTACATTTCCTAAACATCCGCAATCTTTTACAACTTTTTGACGGAAAAATCTTGTTCATCAAACTAATTTTACAAGTTTTTTGTTTTCATAATTTAAATGGTTTACAAAACTGAGTATCCTGTATTAGAGCATCCTAATCATTTTTGCTTAATTTTTGTTTGCTTAATTATGTTTGAGTGTTGCGTTGTACTGTTTTATGCTAACTTCAGCTTTACGTTGTGCATTACTTTTTATCACTATTATTATTGATATTATTATTATTACTATTATTATTTTCAATTAAAATTAATCTCAATTTTAGGTTTATTTAAAATATTTAATTTATCTCTTGTTAACATTATTTGGTCATAAAATCTGCAATATCGCTTAATGCTGGGGTGGACAGGCTATGAGGCACGTCCCCAGGTGGTGGAAAGGGGAAAGTCCTGGGTAGGGAGATCTAGAATTGCATCGAATATTACGGAATAAGATGCCGCGAACAAACTGTGCCAGAAGCAAGAAGACAACGATGAAAGAGGCAAGGGTTCTTGGACAACGGCTCCAACAGCGGATGATCATAGATTCTAAATCCACTACCTTGTGGAACAGGGACCTTTGACCCAAAAGCTACGTGCACTGCTTACAACAATGCTCTCTTGGGCACGAGATAAACTGCAACCGCGCTGCCTTATGTGCTTCCAGCACAAAGGCTAGGCCCACTGCTTATAATGGTGGTTGTCCTTAGGAATTGGGCAATTCCAGATATAAAAATTTTTTGGCTCAAATATCTTTCATGTCATCACAAAAAAAGAAAAGATCCCCTATTACCTGGAAGACTTTAAATGGTCCAGGAAGTACGCAACAGTGGAGGGATGTTGCGTAAAATCGGGCGTCCCTTCCTGGAATATCAGACTTGGCACTTTAAATACTGGACGCTCCATGGAGATCGTCGACATGCTGGAAAGCAAAGGGTTGACATCTGTTCTCTGCAGGAAACAAGATGGAAATCAAATGGTGTCTCTCATTGGGCGTTACAAGTTGTTCTGAAATGGCTAAAAGACAGCCCAAAATGGAGTGGGAATCTTCATATGGGAATCACTGACACAAAATGTACTGGAGGTAGTTCGAATCAGCTCACGCCTAATGCTGATTAAACTCAGAATTGCAAAACTGTTTCTGACTGTTTTTCTGCATATGCACCACAGACCGGTGAATCTGAAGATGCCAAAAGTGACTTCTGGAACACACTCTCAGATACCGTCAGGAAAACACCATCATCAGAGATACCATTGATATGTGGCGACCTCAACGGCCATGTTGGAGGTAAAGCAAATGGGTTTCACGGTGTCCATGGAGGCTTTGGCTACGGGTTTCAAAACGAAGACGTTATAAGGATTCTGGAATTTGCTGAAAGCCATGAACTCTTTCTGTTAAACACTTATTTCAAGAAGAAGCAGAACATTTAATCATATATAAAAACGGGATGTCATTCACCCAAATTGACTTTATTGTCGTCAGACGACTATTCAGGAGTACAAAAGTCATTCCAGGCGAAGCATGCATCCATCAACATAGATTGCTTGTGGCAGATAACTTGCTATCAGGCCTATCAAGGCTATCTAATTTTGCACTGTTACTGTTCAACATCTCTTTTATCAATTTAAGTTCATTTTTTAGCAAACCATTCATTTCATTAATTTTTTCGACTTTTAAGTTGATTTCATCATTGTTGTCACTGACTATTTTAGAGAGAGTTTTAACGTTGCATAACCTCTTCAGACAAATATCACAAAATCATTTAAAACTATCAAAACTACGTGTCACTTCAAAAGCTTCATCACTCAAACCAACACATTTTATGTGAAAACTATTTTCACACTGAAAACATTGAATGCATTGCAAATTTTCTTTACCTGATTTCACACATTTTGTTTTCGTACATTTTGAAGCCATATTAATTTGATTGTTGTGTTTGTTCGTTGTCCGGGTGAGTTCCGAAACGAAAAAAAACAGCACTAAATTAAACTTTTAAACTGAGAAAATGTATGTGTGTGTGTGTGTGTGTGTGTGTGTGTGTGTGTGTGTGTGTGTGTGTGTGTGTGTGTGTGTGTGTGAACGAGTAAAAAAGTAGTACAGCCTTAATACGATTGAGCATATGCTTCCGAGTTGATGTTGAAATAGATGGTACTGGATGGTTGGTGTTTGTCGTCCGTTGTGTGGTCGAACGATTATAAATTTGTCGTTTTTGTTCTTGGTTCGGTGAGTGTTGTTGTTATTGTTATTATTGTTTTTTTGGTTGTTGTTGTCGTTGTTGTTGTGCTGGTTGTTGTTGGAGTCTTTATTATTTGTGTTGTTTTTCGTATTGTCGTCGTTGTTGTTATTGTTGTTGTTGAAGATGACGGTTTTGATTATTTCGATTTCGTTATTTATGATGTCATCTATATTGTTTTTGTGGTGATGAAAATTTTTTTTCTTCTGGAGAAACCTGATGTGATCCTCGATTGGTTTTGTGTCGTCTATTAGGTCTATGTTTTTGTAGTGTATGGTGTTGTAGTTGGATAGTTCGTTATTGAGATGGTTGATGATCGAGTTTTTGATGGTTTCGTATGTGTTGTCGAGGATGTTCGATATTGTTTGGTTGAATGTGTCCTTCTTGTTGGGTGGGTTGATGTTGTCTTTAAGATTGTTGATGGTTGTTTTGAGGATTTTCGCTCTGTCCTCTTTCCAGTTGTTTATGTGGTGGGTGAGTTGTGTTTTTTTGTAGATGAGTTTCGCGGTTACCTTAATTTGTTGAAATTTGTTGTTGTCAATTCGATGCTGTACGGTTTTGGTGTTGTTGTTGTTGTTGTTGTTTGGGTTGCGTTCAGTGTTACTTTTTGCATTGTTGCTCTTGTTGCGGTTGTTGCCTGGGATGATGGGGTGTAGTGGCTCTTCACTTAGCTCTTCAAATGCAAGGAAGACTTGATGCAATAGTAGAACAAATGAAAGAGCTAGCAGTATTTTTAAAAATGTATGTTTTCATTTTTTAATATGCAGAATATGCACTTTAAGCCCAAGGCATTGTTTAAGGTGTAATTAAAAACCAAATAGTTTGAAAATGGAAATACGGTGCTTATTGCATTCTGACTAGCTTTTTTCAAAATCCATAATAACATATCCATTATAATAAATAGATTAAGTTTATGGTTTTTGACATGCCATTTTGTTCCAAAAGTTAAAAAAAAAGTTACAACAATTATTCCAATGATTTCTTTTTAGCGCATTTAAATTTTACAATTTCAATTATATAATTGACATTTAATAAGTGATTTTTTAATTTATATTTGCGCTTTTTTTCGCTGCAGGCTATTTTGTCGGAAAATTTTTTGCAATATTTTACGCCATTTTGTCGTGCGCGCGCGCTATTTGACGGGTCACCCTTTGCATTTCTGCAGCGACCAGCCCTTCACTTGCCTTCGGCATTTCTCCTGTGATTTAATCAACTCTCGAGCTTTATCTGAACTTTAATTTATTTACCGCCTCATTTCGTGACACTGAATCTTCACTGTCTACTGTGTCTAGAAAACAAATTCTTGCCACAGCTTTATCAAGTTGATGAAGAGGACAGAAGTTACTTCTATATTCCTCTAGACACAACAGTTGAGCAAGGTTGATAGAGTTTTGAATATGGCTGCAGAAAGACTAACATTTGCGATGAAGCTCATTTCATTCATTCATTCAATGATCCTCTGTAGTCCCTTAAGGGACCGTTGAGGCCGATGGTATTTTTCTATCTCTCCAAAATCCTTTTCTTTCCCTCGCCATCTTCATTGAGCCCAATGTTCCAACCCCCGTCCATTCCGTGATATCATCCATCCACTTCCTCACAGGTCTTCCAACTTTTTTCTTCCAGTCCCTCTTTCTCATCAGTACTTTTTTGATCATTCTGTCGTCTGTCATTCTGCAGATGTGCCCAAAGATACCCAGCTTTCTTTCCTTGACCCTTTCATACACAGTTTTTTGTCTTCCAAGTTGTTTTCTTATGGCATCGTTTCTTATCTTTTGTCTCCAACTGATTCCCAGCAACTTTCTATAACAATGCATCTCGAATGCTTCCAGTTTGTCTTTGTCTCTTTTCTTCAACGTCCAAGCCTCACATGCATACATCAATGTAGAAAACACACGCGCTTCTACGATCTTTAACTTTGTTTTTGTAGATACATTACCGTTTTTCAATATTACTTTCAAAGATGCAAACATTCCTCTCGCGATTACTATTCTTCTATCAATTTCTTTCGAACAATTATTGTCATCAGTTATGAGGCTGCCCAGATATATAAATTGGTTCACTTGTTCGAGCTTTTCTGCTCCTATCTGGAATTCATCATTGTTTCCACCTGCTTCCGAAATCATTATCTTTGTCTTACTGCTGTTGATGTGTAGTCCATGGTTTCTTCCACCATCGTACGTCAACTCGATCAGTTTCTGTAGACCCTCTGCACTAGGAGCTAGCAGATCTATATCATCTGCAAACCTGAGGTCTCTTATCACTCTGCCTCCAATGTCGATTCCCTCAATATCTGCATTCTCCATTTTTTCCAAGGCTCTTTCCAACAGTGCTAAGAACAATAATGGTGATATTGGATCTCCTTGTCTACTTCCTATGTTCGCTTTGATCCAGTCTTCCAGCTCTGTACCTACCTTTACCGCCATTGTTGACTCCTCATAAAGCCCTTTCAGCACCCTTACCATTTTTATTGACACTCCCATACTTTCCAAAGTTGCCCACAAACCTTCGTGCCAGACTGAATCAAACGCCTTCTTAAAATCCACAAAACAATGAAAAGTTGTTTGACCTCTGCTTCCTGCATCTTCCAACAATAGTCTCAACATCAGGATTTGCTGGACTGTACTTCTGTCCTTTCTGAAACCTGCCTGCTCCTCTCCTAAATGCTGCTCAATGTCTTTCTCCAATCGTTCTTTCAAGATCATCAGCATGATCTTGCACATATGAGGGATCAGTGCTATTGATCTGTAGTTGTTGCAGTCTTTCAGGTCTCCTTTTTTTGGCAACATGATCAAGATTGATTTACACCAATCTTCTGGCCATTTTCCACTGTCCCAGATTTCTTGGCAGATTTTGTGAATCTCATTACATACAATTGGTCCTCCCGCTTTGATCAGCTCTATGGGAATTCCGTCTCTCCCTGTGCTCTTGTTGTTCCTCATTTTCTTCATTGCTTTCATTACTTCCTCCAATGTTATTTCCGTTTCTTCCTCATTGACTACTTTTCTTTCTTTTAAAGCCTGTAACACCTCCTTTGTATACGTGTTTTTATCTGTGAACAGGTCTTTGATATATTCCTACCATCTATCTTTGATTTGTTGGCCTTCAGTTAGAACATTTCCATCCTTGTCTTTAATAATCCTTGACGTATTCTTCAGTTTTCCTTTTAACTGTCTGACTAGCTGATACGCCTCTCTTGTTTTGTTTTGTCCAACTAGTGCTTCTACCTTTTCGCATCTATCGTTTATCCATCTTTTTTTATCTGCTCTGGCATTTTTCTTTATTTTGCAACACATTTGTTTATATTTCATCTCATTTTCGTTGTTTTGTCTTTTTGTTGCTTTCAACTGTCTTCTTTCCATTACGAGTTTCCAATTTTCATCACTTATCCAGGGTTTTATTATGTTTTTCCCTACTTCGCATTTTTCGGCTGCAGTCTTAAGCACTTTCTCCAAGTTACTGACTCTTGTTTTCATATCGTACTTTGTTTTTGTATCCAATTTGTTTTCTATTACACTTCTGATGTCTTTCAACTTCTCTTTTATCATTTCTGTGCTATATTTCACTTTTTTGATATTTTCGCCTGACTTTGGTCTTTTCGTTATTTTCATCTTGACGTTGCATAACACTAGACGATGATCTGATCCAATCTCTGCACTTGGAAAAGCACGGCACTGAGTAACAAATTTCATCCATTTCTGTTCTATCAAAATCAAATCTATCATGTTCGTTGTTTTTCCATCTGGTGATTCCAATGTCCATTTTTTTCTATTTTGTGTTTTTGTATTTGTTATATACATTTTTTGGTCCTTTGCAAATTCCAGCAGTCTTTCTCCTCTATTATTTCTGTTTCCTATACCGTATTTTCCCATGACTTCTTCAAAACCAATATTGTCTCTTCCGATCTTTGCGTTCCAATCTCCGGTGATTATCTTAACATCTTTCTTTGGCAGTACATTCAATGTTTGCTCCAGTTGATCGTAGAATGCCTCGATTTCTGCATCCGAGTGATTCATTGTTGGAGCATATGCCACTACCACATCAATGTCTCTCGGGTATCCCTTAACCTCGCATACACCATTCTTTCATTCACTGGATTGTACTCCAGCAGTGCTTTTCTTGCTTTTTCGCCAATAACCATTCCAACTCCATAGACGTGCTCCCTCTCTGTTCCAGACCATAATATCTTCCCTTCTTCCATTTCTCCACCTCCTGTCCATCGGACCTCGCACAGACCAACCACATCATATCTGAATCGTTCAAGTTCTTTCTTCATCAACGCGTAAGCCCCTGTCTGCCACAATGACCTGACATTCCAAACTCCAACTATCAACCCCATCTTCAGTCTATCTTTCTGGGACTCAGTAGCATACTTTACACTGCAGCTTCTAGTCCCCAAAGCTACAGCGCGGACCTTGTTCACCCGGGCGACGTCCGAGCCGGTATGTGCATACTTTTTTGGACTACCATCGTGTTATTAGCGTTTTTACGACAGTGTAGTAAGCTCTTGTCAACCATTCCTTTCTATCCGGACTTTGGACCGGCACCTGATATTACTGGACCGCAACTCAGGTGGTGGAGTGTGGTTTTCTGTCTGGATTTGCTCCCAAAGCCTTTCCCATGAACAGGTATGCCGCAAGGCAGCGGAAGTTTGAAGTCAGAGTTTTCCTTCTTCTAGGTAAATAGCCGACCAAGGCTAACGAGCTTCACCTGCCCGAAGCAACTGGTTATGGCGCCAGTTATTCGCCTTCGCCCCTTCTCCTGTTAGTTCAAACAGTTCTGCCGCGTGAAGGCCAGGAGTTGGGCTTGGTTGTCAGAGGCTCTTTGAGACGCTTGCCATATGGAAGCATTTTATAGATGATGGGAGCTTATCCCCATCACCACCCCCGGCATTAACAACCATTCAAAACCGCGATGAAGCTAGCTTTGACACAATAAGAAAATAATCTCCATGCTGATAAGAACGACAGTTTCACATAGCTGATTTCCAAAGCCTGTCAATCAGCACCAGGTCAATCATGTTTTTTGTTTTCTCTATGTCCACTTTCTGCAATTCAGTTGTTGGAGCCAAGAGTTGCAAATAAACGAGTTGTTGGTAGTTGCAAATTCCAATAGCCGTTTTCCTCTTTCATTGTGCTAGCTGTAATATCACAAATATTAAACTAAATCAACACGACGGTAAACAACGAAATGTAAACAAAGTTTTAAAGTAATCAACATAGAGACCAGCAGTTATACAACCTCAGTTTGGTTGCTGCACAAACATAATCTCATTTTGTTTCGCGTCTATTAGGTTTATTTTTAGAGGTTACTCGGTTTGAGTGCAAAGAGAATCCCCGTATTAAATTCTCGAGTGTATGATTGTTATGCATATGTGGATTTGTATACGGAGATGTTTTTCATTCGTTTTAAACCAAGGTTGATCTTTGTGAAAATGGCGCTATAAATATTTAAGCGATTGTATTGATTGATTGATTGATTTATTGGTTGGTTGATTGTTTGATTGTTTGATTGTTTGATTGATTGATTGATTGATTGATTGATTGATTGATTGATTGATTGATTGATTGATTGATTGATTGATTGATTGATTGATTGATTGATTGATTGATTGATTGATTGATTGACACTTTAATTTTTCAGGAAAATAGTCAGAAACGTAAAAAATATAAAACGCTGGCAGAAGATAACTACGCTTTGGCAAGTGGCTATTATAAGTTTGTTGATGCTGGTTTGGAATTCATAAGACTGCAGATGGAAAGAGTTCTGATTGCTAATGACACTTTATCCAGTTAGTCAAAATAACTTTGAAATATTTTACTTGAATTTTTTTCCATGATTTCAATATTTTTAATTTATCTTCCAACTCTAACAAGTCATCATTTCATTACATAAAACTATCGAATTGATCTACAACAAAAACCTATAATAAGCAAGCCCTTTAACTTGTGCAGAGAAGTCAACGTCCTACCTCGGGGGAACTGTGTCTCTGGACGCTAAACGAAGATTGATTGATTGAGAAGTCTACAGCAAAGTGTTAAACGACGCAAAGACCGTGAAATAATTTACACAGTTTACTTCAACCCGGAGATTATACTATTCTAAAATAGACACATTTAAGTAATTTAAACGATATGTCAGATCAAAACGTTATTAAATCAATAGTCTGAATTTCTACGCCACAATAACATTACACTGGTGGCTCTAAATAGTTTTGATAACAAACCAACTTTGCATTTAGTTGTACCCTTGCTTCATCGCCTCATTTAGTTATGTAACAATTGCAGTGACGGTGATAAGCCTATTCAGTATTTGAAAGCTCATGCTACACAATTGGTCCAAACAATAGTTAGACTCATTCCACTTGCCATAGAGTTACTAATAGCAGTCCTCCTTTTTATGAGTATCAATAAAACATCATCTCTAGTTTTGAAGAACAGTTGCATCATCAATTGTCAAACTAGATTTCATTATAAAGAATAGCCATCTAGTATATTCATTTGATGATGAAACATTGAATAAACTACTTCAACTTTGAAAAGAAAGGTGCAATAAAAAATCATCTAATAGGGTTCATAAAATAGAAATTATAAAAGAAATATTAAACAGCAACATCGAAGTATTATAACCATGGAACCCATTTGCTTTATCTCCAACATGGCCGTTGAGGTCGCCACATATCAATGGTATCTCTGATGATGGTGTTTTCCTGACGGCATCTGAGAGTGTGTTCCAAAAGTCACTTTTGGTGTCTTCAGATTCATCGGTCTGTGGTGCTTATGCAGAGAAAACAGTCAGAACCTATTTTCCCTTTCTGAGTTTAATCAGCATTAAGCGTGAGCTGATTCGAACTACCTCATTTTGTGCCAGTGATTCTAGTATGAAGATTCCCACTCCATTTTGGGCTGTTTTTTGGCCATTCCAGAACAACTTGTAACTCCCAATGAGAGAGACCATTTGATTTCCATCTTGTTTCCTGCAGAAAACAGATGTCAACTCTTTGCTTTCCAGCATGTCGACATTTCTTTGGAGCGTCCAGTAAGCGATCCAGAATTTAAAGTACTTAATTTGGGCTGTTCTTTGACCGTTTAAGGTCTTCCAGGGAATAGGGGATCTTTTCTTTTTTTGTGATGACATGGAAGATGTTTGAGTCAAAAAAAATTTATATCTGGGATTGTCCAATTTCTAACGACAACCACCAGTTATAAACAGTGGGCCTATCCTTTGTGCTGGAAGCACACAAGACAGCGCGGTTGCAGTTTATCTCGTGCCCAAGAGAGCATTGTTGTATGCTGTGCACCTAGCCTTTGGGTCAAAGATCCCTGTTCCACAAGGCAGTGGATTTAGAATCTATGATCATCCGCTGTTGGAGCCGTTGTCCTGGGATCCTCCGCCTCTTTCATCGTTGTCTTCTTGTAAAGTTAAGAAATAATAAAGGTTAAAAATCAATCTCTCCTGTACACTTGCTTCAGAGGTTTCAACGACAAACACAAAAATGAAAACAACTACAAACACGAATATGAAACATTGATATGATAAACGGGAATCTTTTTGCATTCAAGCCCAGTCGTTACAACAGCATGGCCAGGTGCCTTTAACCATTACGCCATCGCGTAATTATTTTGCCGTCGCGTAACAACAATAGAAATACATTTTAGCTTGATAAGATGACATAGGTAGAAATAATAAAAATAAATTTTTTTTGCAAAACTTTCAATTAAAAAAGAGATTTCAGCTACATTTGAAAAAGGCACGTTGTCGGTTCGACGGGAGTTAAAAACTATCTTCAAAACTTACTAAATGTTTTTTTAATTATGTTGATATTGATGTATAGCAAAGCTAAAATATGAGATCAGGGAGCTTCTAGATCTATAAATGAAAATAATTTGATCACTATATATATTTTTATTCTATATTTGATAATTAGAAATTATTTCAATATGCTTTGCTTTTCTCAGTTTTACTACTTTTTTATTTAGATCTATGTTTTTTAAAGATTGAATTTATTTTACAATAACAAAAGTATATTGTCAGAATTCCACACTATTAATTCAAACAAATGTATTCAAAATGAAATAGTTAATTATTGATTTGATAACTGCAGATCAAACCAGTTACATTGGCCAATTGAATGTTTTGAAAAAAATTTTGGATTGTCTTCTGAGTTGTCACTGGTCTTTGAAGTCCGTACACGATAGTCTTACAGATCTCAAAAATCAATTCGTTGCTTATAAAAGTGGACATGAATTTATTGTAAAATTTATTGCTTCCGTCTCTTCTAAGCCAAGTGTTGGTAGATATCAAGATTTACCTAATTTTTTAAATGGTAGTTCTAAGGATTTAAGTGGCGACCGTACAATTAACACAGTCAATGATGAACGGAAAACGGTTTTTGAAGAATCCATATTTCAAGAAAGCATAAAGTTAGGTAGTATTTACCAAAGAAACCTCGCTAGCACACTCAAGTCACTTGTTAAAATTACAAAAAAGTAAGTTTTTACATTTTATTTATTTTGCTTGTTGTTCAATAGATTAAAAAAGTAAGTTTTTACATTCAACATATTCTGCATGTTGTTCAACGTCTTTCATTATGCAAGAAGAGAAACATATGGTTTTCATTTTAAATGCTTGAAACTGCATTTATACATTTGAAGTGTGTGGAGATAGGGTGGAGTGGGGGTGTCCGAAGGTAATCGCTCACAGGATATATTTTACATCATCATCAGTGAAAGTTGATTTATATAGGGAAATATTCACTTTGTGAAAGTGAACTTAGATGGAAATTAGATGTCAGACTTCTTTATTGGTTTCCTTTTCTTCATCGATAGCATCATACTCTTCTTTGTCATTATTTACAATGCTAGTTTTTATTACTTCTTTGTTTTCATTGTTGATTAAGCGCCGGGTTGGGAGTGAGGTTGTCATTTTTTGTTGTATATTTATTTTTGGTTTATTGATGTAAATTAGGAAGTTATGGTACGGGAGGAGTTGGTGTGATGGTAAGAGAAGAGTTGGTGGAGAAGTTGTTGGAAGTGAGGCGGAAAAGCAATGGTGTAATTGTGGTGTTGATGGTGTTTTGAAAGGTAATAGTGAGGGTAATATCAGAATATGCTCCGCGACATATTAGGAAGGAAGAGTAGAAGGATAGGTTTTATGATTATGTTTCTGACGAGATTGGGCAAGCGGGGTTGGATGAGTTTGTGGTGTTGTTGGGCGATTTGAATGGTCGTGTGGGGCGGATGCAGACGGATATGAAGGTGTACATGGGGGATGGGGATATGGTATACGGAATGAGGAAGGGCGTAGAGTGTTGGAGTTGGCGATGCACATAGCATGGTGGTGAAGAATACCTGGTTTACAAAGGAACCAGCACGATTAATTACATATAGGTCAGGGGAGCATAGGTCAATGATAGATTATATATTAATAAGGGCAAAGCATGATTTTTGAATCATCCGCAAGAGCATAATTATAGTTTGAGGCTTGCCAACGACGAACTTTTGAACACTTTTCCTAATATCACTATAACTTTCGAGATAATGAAGTAATTTCGGCCTGCATTTATTAAATCACTTTTTTGACTGCGCTTCATAATTCAACCGTATGCTTTAAAAACAAAAGTCGGAAATTTGGTCTCCAACTTTTTATCATTAATGAATTTGCAAACGCTTGCAAATTCATTAAGTGCTTTATTTTTATTAGTTTTTGAAAAAGCATTTGATCAAGTTCCCCGTGAAGCAATCAGGTGGAGTCTACGTCGACAACTCATTCCAGAATATCTTGTTCGACTTATGATGGAAATGTATACGAATACTAAAACTCTTGTCAGCACAACAGCTGGAAACACAGATGCATTTGACATCGGCGTTGGAGTTCACCAAGGCTCGATTCTCAGTCCACTGTTATTTATAACTGTGATTGAAGAAATCACAAAACCAATACGCACTGGTGACATTTGGAATCTAATATATGCTGATGATATCGTTTTAACAGCCACGTCTGAGCAGAATGCAGCACAGATCTTTGAAGATTGGAACACCAGACTCGCCGGCCATGGATTCAAAGTCAACATCAGCAAAACTAAAGCAATGAACACTGGTGAACCCATCCAATCCACAGCTACTGGACGATGGCCCTGTTCAGTTTGTAAAGCTGGTGTAGGTAACAATTCAATCAAGTGTCAGCAGTGTAACCAGTGGTGTCACAAACGTACAAACGTTGTTCAAAAATAATTGGTACTTTATCTAAAGTGTCCAATTTTGTTTATCCTGCTTGCATCAATCCACAACAACAAATTCGAAATAGCAATGTTTTTGAAGCCATTAAAGTAGAGAAAGTCACGTCGTTTCAATATCTAGGGGATATTCTGGATTTTACTGGAACAGCTGAAGCTGCCGTTCGAGCACGCATACGTGCGCCTGGAATAAATGGCATCTCCTTGCCTCTATATTGATGCGGCGTGACATCCCACTACCACTACGATCAAGACTTTATAAATCTGTGATTCGTCCGGTGTTGTTATATGGTGCAGAAACATGGCCAGTGACAACCAAACTGGGACAACAACTTCAACGAACCGACATGAAAATGCTCCGATGGATGCAACGAATTAGTCTGAGGACCACATCAAATCCACCGAAATCCTGCGTCGTGCTGGTTAGGGTTAGGTTGTACTTTATATCATCTAATATAAAGGACGAATGCCGGCAACACCGTCTGCGGTGGTTTGGTCAAGTCAAACGAAGTGGAATCAGTGCCATAACTTCTCTTGTAAATGTTGAAATATCTGGCACACATTCCAAAGGCCGTCCAAAGAAATCCTGGTCGCAAACAATCGAGCAAGAGATGAAAGCTCTCAATTTAAATGAAATGGATACAAATGATCGTCTAATTTGGCGCAAAAAGTTTATGGCAAAGAAAACAACGTCCTACCTCGGGGAACCGGGACTCTGGACGCAAAACGAAGATTGATTGCTTTATTTTTATTAGTACTGTAGTTTTAAGCTATTCTATGGATAATTTAGTTTCTTGAAATGGTCTTTTTAATTTTCATTCAGACTTTGAAGTGTAAAAAGTTCAGTTAACACGTTTACTAACCCAGCTTTATCCTAACTCGTCGATCCCACTTTTTTTTACGTCCTACCTCGGGGAACCGGGACTCTGGACGCAAAACGAAGATTGATTGCTTTATTTTTATTAGTACTGTAGTTTTAAGCTATTCTATGGATAATTTAGTTTCTTGAAATGGTCTTTTTAATTTTCATTCAGACTTTGAAGTGTAAAAAGGTTCAGTTAACACGTTTACTAACCCAGCTTTATCCTAACTCGTCGATCCCACTTTTTTTACCATTTTGTATCTCGACAACGAAAAACGCTTGCAAATTCGCTAAATGCCCTGTTTTTATTTGTATTTGTACCGTAATTTTAAGTAGCTCTATTGACAATTTAAATGGTCTTTTTAAGCAGTTTTATTTTAAGCAACTTCATGAAAATTTAAACAATTTAAATGGTCTTTTTTACTTTTATTCAAACTTTAAAGTGTAAAATCTTCAAATGACGATGACGATAGTAATCTTACTCTTCCTCTTGACTTTTCCTTTGCTTTTGATACTGTTGATCATACTATTCTCTTGAAGCTGCTAGATTTTTCTTTTAATATTATTGACTCTTGTCTATCTTCGTTTTCTTCTTATCTCTGTAATCGTTTTTTTCTGTTGTTTTCAATAATTCTACTTTTAATTCTTCTACTTTTACTTTCGGGGTACTCAGGGTTCTATTCTTAGCCCTCTTCTATTTATACTTTATACTTCTGAACTACCTCGTATTATTAATAATTTTTCTTTCACTAGTCAACTAAATGCTTATCAATCAATCAATCAATCTTCGTTTAGCGTCCAGAGACCCAGTTTCCCGAGGTAGGACATTGTTTTCTTTGACATCAACTTTTTTCGCCAAATTAGACGATCAGTTGTATGTTTTCTTTGCCATCAACTTTTTGCGCCAAATTAGACGATCAGTTGTATCCATTTCATTTAAATTTAGAGCTTTCACGTCTTGCTCGATTGTTTGCGACCAGGACTTCTTGGGACGTGTGCCAGGTACTTCAACATGCCAGGTACTTCAACATTTGTTAGTCAATTAAATGCTGATGATTCTTATATTTATACTTCTTTTCCTCCATCTGATCTCAATAGTTTTCTTCATAGTCCATTTCTATCTATGTCTTTCTTCAATTATCGCTTGGTCTAACTCTATGTGTCTTAAACTTAATCTTTCTAAATTTGAATTAATTTGTTTTAATAAATCTAAACACTCTATCACTATTCTTCCTATTATCTTACCTGATTCTAAAACTCTTGATGTTTCTAACAAGTTTCGAAGTCTAGGTTTTATCCTTGATTCTAGTATGTCTCTTTCTTCCCAGATTAATAGTGGTGCTAGAAGTTCTTACTTTCATCTACGTAGATTAAAAAACTTTTGCCTTTTCTTTACGATCCTTGGGTCTCGTGGCCGTGTGGTTAGCATGTCCGTCTTCCACTCCCATGACCCGGGTTCAATTCTGCAGTTTCTACAGGTTCATCCGAGTAGCCGACCCCCGGTCAACCCAGCCGTCCATCCTTTCGAGGTTGGTAAATGTGTAGACGACGTAAGTTGTTGCATGTTGACCGGCGAGATGGCTCCAGTGGTTTGAATGCTCGCTGAGTCAAACCTCTCAATGGCTATCATATACTCAGCGTATATGATGCGGTGCTTGCGCGTGCACATAAAATACATGTGTACGTCGTGTGAAAAGGATAAACAGCCTTTGTGACGTAGATGGCTGCTTCAAATCAATGGTTGAAGATCATAATAAAAGATATATAGATTATATATTTGTAACATTGTAAGTGGTTCTTCGTATGTCTGATCTGCAATAATAAAGATTTAAAAAAATCCTACTCATCCTATGAAGGATGGAAAGGCAGCAGGGCCCTCTGGACTCGCAAATGACATTATCAAGCATCTGGTACTGCAGGTATCTAAGTGTGGAGAAATCGCTCAATGCCGACTGAATGGAACCATAGCATGATGACAGTTCTGCTATACAAAGCAATGGTGATCCATTGAACTGTTCATCATATCGGAGTGTACGTCTGTTAAAACACTCCCTGAAAATTGTCGGGAAAATCATTGAGAGAAGATTAACGTCGTGCATCACAATCGGAAATTATCAATTTGGTTTTCTAGAAATCACAAAACCGATACACAAGCTTTGTTCAAAAATAATTAGTACTTTATCTAAAGTTAGAGGTAGATAAAGTCACATCGTTTCAATATTTGGGGGATGTTCTGGATTGTACTGGAACAACTGAAGCTGCCGTTCGAGCACGCATATGTGCAGCCTGAAATAAATGGCATCTTCTTGCCTCTATATTGATGCGGCGCGACATCCCGCTACCACTACGATCAAGACTTTATAAATCTGTGATACGTCCGGTGTTTGTTATATAGTGCAGAAATATGGCCAATGATAATCAAACTGGAACAACAACTTTAACGAACCGACATGAAAATGCTCAGATAGATGCAACGAATTAGTCTGAACGACCCCATCAAATCCACCGAAATCCTGCGTCGTGCTGGTTTAGATGATATAAAGGACGAATGCCGGCAACACTGTCTGCGGTGGTTTGGTCATAACTTTTCTTGCAGATGTTGAAGTACCTGGCACGCGTCCCAAGGCCGTCCAAAAAAGTCCTGTTCGCAAACAATCGAGCAAGACATGAAAGCTCTACATTTAAATGAAATGGATACAACTGATCGTCTTATTTGGCGCAAAAAATTGATGGCAAAGAAAACAACGTCCTACCTCGGGAAACTGGGTCTCTGGACGCTAAACGAAGATTGATTGATTGATTTGCAATCCTACTCTTCTCTTCTTGTTACTTTGTTAGTTTTATCTAGGATTGGTTATTGTAACTCGCTCTACTATGGTCATCCTGATTCTACAATCTATCCTTTAAGTAAAGCTTTTAATTTTGCTGTTCGCCTAGTTGCTCGTGCCCTTTCTTTTCTCATATATCTCCATATCTTGTTCTCTTGCACTGGCTACCTATAAAATATAGAATAATTTTTAAAATTTGCACGTTCATGTAAAAGTCTCAATCTAAATTATTTCCTAAGTATTTATCAGATATATTAATTGAACCTAAACGCTCCGGTTTACGATCGTCTTTTTCTTCTCGCTTTTTCTTAACTCGTGTTAAACACTCTTTTGCCAAATCTGCTTTTGCTTTTTCTGGTCCTTTTCTCAGTCTAAATTATTTCCTAAGTACTTATCAGATATATTAATTGAACCTAAACGCCCTGTTTACGATTGTCTTCTCATTCTCATTTCTTCTTAACTCGTGTTAAACACTCTTTTGCTAAATCTGCGTTTGCTTTTTCTGGCTTTTTTCTTAGGAACTCTCTACTTTCTTCTCTGACTACTTCTTCATCACTTACAAATTCAGAGCGGATCTCAAGACCCATTTGTTTGCAAAATTCATTGAGGTGTGCTGTTGAACATCGCAGAAAAACTATTTGATTGATTGGTTGATTGATTGATATTGCTAACGGCAGAACACGAGATCCAAGCGCCAGCACACGCGAATGTTGCAGATCATGCATCAAGAACTTCACTAACTCAACTTTATTCTTACTCTATATATAATATTTGTTGACAGTTCATTTGACCGTCAATTAACGATGCGTTTATTTCAAAATATATTTTAAATAAAAAAATAGGTTCATTTGTTGATGGTTTATTTTTATTAGTAATATCACTATCCTTATTATTAAATATTAAATCAATGAAGTTGTTTTAATAAAAAAAAGATGAAATTATAGAATATTTAATATATAATTTTTCTACGACTAAACAGATCAAAAGACCCAAAACCCCACGACATGTACAAGGCAGGATATCATAAGTACTTAACAAGTTCTTGCTTTCATGCTAATTTTCCATTGGTAGATATTGATTGGGCTGATATGGAAAAAGATTTAAAATCTGTGACATCCGGTATATTGCAAACGGCAGAACACGAGATCCGGGCGCCAGCACACGCAAATGTTGCAGATCATGCTTCAAAAACTTCAACAAGAGAACAACTGTCGAAGATACTTGATGATCTTTTAACTTGCTTTAAAGGTCTCGTCGATGTTGTCCGAGAATTGTCTTCTATTTTAGATTATTCTGCTACCTTGTAAAGTCAATAATAAACTGGTACATATTTATTATGTGTTACTTTTTGATATGGAAGTATTTTATGGGAGATTTTTGAAACACTTAAACTTTACTCTGGCTTTGCATTATATTCATTCATACTGTGATAAAAAATAGCGTGTATATTAATACGAATGGGCGGTGCATCGATAATGGTTTTCGATAGTTTAATGAACATACATGCCCATAAAGACCAAACAAACTAAATTGCATTTTTATTTCAGAAGAATGATTGTTTTTTATTAATATATAAACAGATAATTCAAAATTTGACATGGTTTGAAACAGTTTTAAAAAATTTTAGCTTTTGTTTAAAATTGTTAAAACGTTTTATTGTTTATGTTTTATTGCAAACAGCGGAGTGTCGAAGTCGAATGAAAAAATTATGACTCGGGCTCCATCTCCTCAAAAATTTCAACTCCACGTTTCGACTTCCAGAAAAATTTTTCATCATAATTGTTTTGCCTTATCACTACTAAATAAAAATACTTTTATAAATCTTTAAAATCAGTCAATATAATTTTTTCTTAGTAAAAACATTTTTATGTTTTAAAACATACCGAGAAAAAGTGACTTTATTCTCATTAATGGCATTTATTTTCAGTTTTAAAGATGGTTGCATATTGCTTATCTTCTAAAAAACACGATCTTAAAAAAAATTTAGATAATTTTTTAATTAATATTTTTCTGAGTAGGGTGAAAAAATCTTTGGTCTTCCTGACTCTATACTCTATCCTTTAAGTAAAGCTTTTAACTCTGCTGCTCGTCTAGTTGCTCGTGTCCTTTCTTTTCTCATATCTCCATATCTTGTTCTCTTGCACTGGCTACCTATAAAATATAGAATAATTTTTAAAATTTGCACGTTCATGTAAAATTCTCAATCTAAATTATTTCCTAAGTATTTATCAAATATATTAATTGAACCTAAACGCTCCGGTTTACGATCGTCTTTTTCTTCTCGCTTTTTCTTAACTCGTGTTAAACACTTTTGCCAAATCTGCTTTTGCTTTTTCTGGTCCTTTTCTCTGGAACTCTCTACCTACTTCTCTGACTACTTCTCCATCACTTGCGAAGTTCAGAGCGGATCTCAAGACCCATCTGTTTTCAAAATTCATTGAGGAGCGCAGTTGAACATCGCGGAAATAGCGCTTTATAAGCTGATTGATTGATTGATTGATTGATTGATTGATTGATTGATTGATTGATTGATTGATATAAATAATTTCAAAAAGCTTTTTCGATATAAAATATATCATCGCCAGTGCAAAATATTTTTAAATAATAACGAACATTACCGTCTATAAACAAATGACGTCATACAGTACAACTTAATTGTAAGCGCGAAACATTTTTAAAATATTATTATTAATTATTATATACTATATATTTAACATATTGATAAAATTAACTTTAAATTATTTACATAGATATATATTAGAATTAAACAAAATAAATTAAAATTTTAAAAATTGCTGAAAAAACGACCATAAAGTAAATCAACAAAATAAAAAGCAAAAATCAGCCATATCATCATACAATATTTATGTTTCCAAGTTTATATTATTGTCATTGTTATTATATTATTATTATTATTACTATTGTTGTTGCTGTTGTTATTGTTGTTGTTGCTGTTGTTTTTATTGACAATGATGATGTTGTTGTTGTTGTTAACATTAGTATTGTTGTTGTCATGGTTGTTGGCATCTCTAACATGGTTAACATTGTTGTCGATAGTAACATGGTTGTTGTTGGTGGTGGTGGTAACGTGGTTGTTATTGTTGTTATTGGTGGTGAGAGAACTATTAATTAGTTTAGATAACTGTTTGTGAGTCGGAAGTACTGTTATACTTTGTAGCTGAACATTTAATTTTGGATTTTTTATTTCTATTAATATGGCTTCGGCTATCTTTAAGGTGAAAGAATCGGAGTTTTTGTAAAGAACATTTGTGTTATTGAACTTGAATTGAACGAGAATTGAACGTGTTAATGTTGTATTATATGTTGTTTTTATATGAGATTTGATCGCACCCTCTCTTTTGTGCATGGTAAGTCCTCGAGAAAGTTGAGTGGTGGTCATTCCTTTATATGAAAAAGTTTGGTGCACACAGTTTTCGATGGGACAGGAAAATTGATATATAAGATGACTATTTTTCATGATGGAATTGTTGTTGGGTTGACAGTTATTTTTGATTATCATGTGTGATGTTTTGGCGTTTTTATAATATATTCTCAACTTAACTTTGCAATTGGGATTTACGGGTTTGATATTGTTGTAAATTAGTTTTCTTAAAATGTTTTCATCTGTTTTATATGAAGTGGACATGATGTTGCGGTAATATAGAATAATATCTTTATTATTATTATTATTTTTGTTGTTGTGGATTGCAATTGTGATGGATGTTGTGTGTGGAAACATAATGGAGGGGTTGTTATTTGTATGCAGATGATTTAGTCTTGATGGCTAATAGCATGGAAGAATTGCAGTTAAAATTTGACAGATGGAAAAGTGTTATTGAAAAAAAAGGGTTAAAAGTTAATATTGGTAAGACGAAGGTAATGGTGAGTGGGGAAGGTGGGGAGCGAGTGATATGTAAAATAGACCCCTGTGGGGTATGTGACAGGAGAGTGAAGGCTAACTCGGTATTGTGTATAGGATGTCAGAAATGGGTGCATAAGAGATGTAGTGGTGTGAGGGTGGCACTGAAAAAGGTGGAAGGCACGTTCAAATGTAAGAAATGTGGTCATGGTGTGATTAATAGGACGGACGCAAGGACGGGGTTGAGTGGTGGTATTGAAAGAGTGGAAAGCTTTGTTTACTTACGGGGATAAGC